AAAGGCAGAAGCCTTGGGCCGCTTTCGAGCGGGGAGGGGGTTTAAACCACCAGAAGTGGCTTGACACTGGAGGAGTGATCACACAGGGGGAAAATGCGGCTGGAACCGGAGAATCAGGAAAACACCACTTGGGGACCTGGTATCAAAATACTCCGGGTTTAAAGCAGTTTTGAGCCGGAAAGCGACGGCTGTGGACGGGAGGCAGATGTTGACCATGTGATCATGTAGATAAAATGATCACACAGGGGGAAAATGCGGCTGGAACCGGAGAATCAGGAAAACACCACTTGGGGACCTGGTATCAAAATACTCCGGGTTTAAAGCAGTTTTGAGCCGGAAAGCGACGGCTGTGGACGGGAGGCAGATGTTGACCATGTGATCATGTAGATAAAATCCATTTCTGAGGCGGGCCGAAAGTGGACTAAATGGCCCCTCTGACCGTGAGGGTCTGACTCATGAAAGTTCACATTTGGGGCAAATGTGAAATAAATTGAGACGGCAATCACAGCCACTGCTGTATTTTTTCGGATTTTTATTCCGCCCTTCCCAAAGTGGGCTCAGGGCGGATCACAGCAAAACAGAGTCACAGACTCCTTGCGATAAAATTATATTACAGTAAAATCCTTAAAAGAGTACAGTTCAGAGGCATCCGCAAATTACATAAAAGAAAAGACTCTTAAGGCTATATAGATGGAGTCAGAACATTTCAGTAGATTGGGAGCTAAAGCAGAGAGGCCAGCTAAGATGGACGCCTGCCCTCTCACCCGAAGGGCTGGCGGAACAGCTCAATTTGCAGGCCCTGTGGAATGGTAAAAGGTCCCGCAAGGCCCTGATCTCCAGTAGGAGCTGATTCCACCAGGGCGGAGAAGGCCCTGGTTGAGGCTAGGCAGACATCCTTTGGGCTGGGGGTAACCAGTAGGTGTTGATCCAGTGAGCGCAGGGCTCTTTGGTGCACTTATGGGAAAGGCGGTCCTTCAGATACATTATCCAATACCAGGTATGTCCCCTGAGTACTAATACTAGGGCATAATACCAAGAGCCAGTGCGTTGTAGTGGACAGAGCGGCAGACTAGGACCCTCGGCGACCCTGTTGAAATCCCCACTTCTCCAATGGAAGCTCGCTGGGTGACCTTGGGCCCGTGAGCTTGATTGGTTTATCCCAGTATCTTGTATTCAGACAAAGAATTAAATAGACTTTAGAAATGTAGATACTTTACCTGATGGAACCAATCTGCTGGGTGGAGGGGGAAGACTGGAGGCTTGCTCTGATGTTGACTGCTCTGAGGTTGCCTGCCACCTGAAAATGGAGACCTCTTTTTCAGAGCTGTGGCTAGCTCTATGTTTCAGAACCAGGAGGGCCTTCCTTGGCCTGAGTCTCTGGGTCTCTGGATCAGGTTACAAGTGGGGTGCCCTTGCTAAGGGGCTACCCAATAGTAAAAGGCTGCGCCTCTGGCAACAGAAGCAATTGCAACCCAGTCCTATGTGCTGTGGATTTCCCATTATGCAGGGGGGAGGATCTGATTACCCTTGGTGCTGACTGTCGTGTTTTGCCTTGCGTGTGCCCCCACAGGTTGCCCTGAAGTATAGCCAGAAATATGGCAGTGAGAAAGTGCGAGTCCTCCCGTTGGTGAAGAATCGTGGGAAGGGGGGAGCGGTCAGGATGGTAAGTTTTGTGTAGCAGTTAAGTGCGCAGACTCTAATCTGTGAGAACCAGGTTTGATTCCCCACTCCTCCACATGCAGCTGCTGGATGACCTTGGGCAAGCCATAGTTTTCTCAGAGCTGTTCTTTCAAGGGCAGTTCTCGAGAGCTCTCTCAGCCCCACCTACCTCACAGGGTGTCTGTTGTGGGGAGGGGGAGGGAAAGGAGTTTGTAAGCCACTCTGAGACTCCGAGTGAAGGGCTTTTTCCGGGCCTTCACATCTCTAGTCTTGGCATTCCCTCTGAGCTTGTGCAAAAAGCTTTATCGCTAAGACAAAGGTTCTTTTGATTGCTCTTTGAGTTGGTTGTTTCCCAGATTGGGCACCCAGGCAGTTGTGAAACTTTAGCCTGCTGCCCCCACGGGGAGAGCGGGCAGAAGAAAGGCTTTCTTCCGCATTGGAAAGCACAGGTACATGTATCCTCTGGCCAGGTGAAAGAACAATGGGTCTCAAACAATGTTCCCTCTAAGTGGTGGAGTCTTGTGAGCAAGAATCCTACTTTGTGAGCCACTAGCATTTGTGAGCCACGAGCGATTTGGATGCTGCTTGAATTAGTTTGCTCTGGAGCCCTCCTTCCTGAGTTGACAAAAAAGTGTGAGCTGGAGGCTAAAAAACTGTGAGCTAGCTCACACTCAGCTTAGAGGGAACACTGGTCTCAAATGTCTGCCTCGCTTGCAGGGTGTCTTGAGTTCCCGAGGGAGGAAAATACTCATGGCGGACGCCGACGGGGCCACAAGATTTGAAGATGTCGAGAAGGTCGAGAAGGGTCTTGAGAGCCTCCAGCCCTGGCCGGTGAGTCTGTGATTGTGTTCGCATGTGTTTATTTAAAGAGTTTATTAGCTGCTTTTCCACCTTGCGGAACTCGAGGTGGCTTCCATTGTAAATAAAGCAACAATTATTTTTATTAAAATCATATGGAAGTCACAATTTAAAATCTCAGGACTGCCAGTCAATAAAAACTAAAGTCGTCAGCTAAAGTTGTTGGGTAGAATTCTCACTTAGACTGACTTTGGCCGCCTCCTGAAGATCAAAAGTGAGCGGGGCCAGCTGCAAATTCTCAGGGAGGGTGTCGCATAATCGTGGGGCTCCCACCGAAAAGGCCCTCCTTCGTGTACTCACCATACTCACATGTTAACTGAGTCCTATCTCTCTCCGTGGCTTAGATACGTAGAGGAGAAACTCTCTACAATGGGAACATCCCCGTATTATCTAGCCCACTTTTCAGATAAACAAGCCTATGCTATTATTAAACAAAGATTTCTCGACATCGAAAGGCAAGAACTTAGGGAACGGACAGCCAGCAGATGCTCCCCAAGTAGGCTGGGGACTTTTGACACGGGCTCTACTGCAAAATATCTGTTAAGTTTAACAGCCCCACACCATCGCAGAGCATAAATGCTTGCATGCTTTAATGTTCTGCCATTGGAGATACCGCCAGATACCATATGTAGACAGACTTTGTCCTTGTTGTCTAAAAGATCTAGAATCCACTACACACACCATACGTCATTGCCCCCTTTATAGGGATATCCGATCTCGTTTTATTACTCCACTTCTAGAGGGTAAGGGCTGACACTCTGATGACTCAATTGTTCACTTTCTTCTGTTTAATTCTAATTGCGAAATAATGGAGGCAACATTTTTATACTATGCAATCCGAAGACGAGGCTTGAATAGCCAAGTGTAAGCGACTGATGCATCTTAGTATTTTCCTGTATTTCCATGACAGTAAGAAGGCTGAAAGCCAGTTTGGTGTAGTGGTTGGGAGCGCGGACTCTAATCTGGGAGAACCGGGTTTGATTCCCCACTCCTCCACATGCAGCTGCTGGCGTGACCTTGGGTCAGTCACAAGTCCTCTCAGAGCTGTTCTCTCAAGGTCAGTCCTCGAAAGAGCTCTCTCAGCCCCACCTACCTCACAGGGTGTCTGTTGTGGGGAGAGGAAGGGAAGGAGATTGTAAGCCACTCTGAGACTCCAAGTGAAGGGCGGGGTATAAATCCAATCCCTCTCCCCACAACATTTGGCATATCCCATATCGGGGGGGGGAGGGACTTGTATGGTGCTTGAAGAAGAGGAGGAGATTAGATTTATACCCTGCCCTTCACTACCCAAAGGAGTCTCAGAGCGGTTAACAAACTCCTCTCCCTTGCCCTCCCCACAACAGACACCCTGTGAGGTAGGCGGGGCTGAGAGAGCTCTTGACAGAAACTGCTCTTTTTTTCAAGAACAGCTCTGAGAGAACTACGGCTTGCCCGAGGTCATCCAGCAGCTGCGAGTGGAGGAGTGGGGGATCAAACCCGGTTCTCCCAGATTAGAGTCCGCGCACTTAACCACAACACCAGACTGGCTCTCAAAGAGGGCTGTGGCTGGTCGGTATCCTCAGGAGGGCCAGGGTTCTGGGGTTGGGGTTATATTTTCAACCTCTGTTACTCTTTAGGTGAAGTAAACAAATAATTTTGCTGGTGGGAGGGCTTGGAGTGGGCTCAGGAGGCTCAGGGTACTGCCTAAGCCAGACATGTCAAACAGCCGACCTGTTGAGTAGAACCAGCCAGTCTAGGGATTTTATCCAGCCCGTGAGCAACTGAGGGGGAACCAGTCCAAATGAGGACCAGAAGGGCCTGTATTAGGGTATCACACCCCCTGCTGAGGTCCCTCCCTTCCCCAAACATGCCTCCCGGGTCTTCCCCCAGATCTCCAGGGATTGCCCAACCCAAAGATGGCAAGCATAAGGGGCGAGGAGAGCTGGTTTGGCCCGGAGCTCTGCTGAGGAGGGGTACGGGTCACGGTCAGTGGTAAAACATCTCCAGTACCTGGCGTTCCATTTTATGGCACACGTGGCCCGGCCTAACAAGGTCTCATTTATGTCAGATCCAGCCCTTGAAAGAAATGAGTTCGATGCTCCTAGCCTAAGCCTTGTTCTTCACACAGCATACTCCCCCCCTCCCCCACTGCCCATTCCTAAATGAGTGCATTGGTTCTGGTGAGTGTTAGGACCAGCAGGGCCGGCTCTATCACTAGGCCAGCTAGTCTCTGGCCTAGGGCGGATCTTCGAACAGGGCGCCAATATGGTTAGAGAATAAATAATGTTATAGACTCAAAAGATTGTAAATAAGTTACCATATGAGATACATCTGTTTGTGATCATGTGAAAAATTATAAATAAAACTTGGGGGGGAACCTTAAAGAGACATGCAAACTACAGGAACACAGAGTCAGTGTGAAATAGCTGGACGGGACTAATGTGGGGAGGCCGTCCGGTCTCAGTCCTTTTTTCAGGTGCTCTCCTGCTCAACAGTTGTCATTCTGCGTGTTCCCCTCTAGGACCAGATGGCCATCGCCTGTGGCTCCCGCGCCCACTTGGAGAAAGACTCAGTCGCCCAGGTAAGCTTGTGCTTGCTGCTTTGCTGCCCATTTGCTAATGACCTGGCGGTTCTTTGGGACTTGAAGTAGCGGAGATTGTCCTGCCAACTTTGAGGATCCAGTGCCTGGTCCTCCCTGTCCTTTGCACAGTCCATGTTTGGAGAGCCAGTTTGGTGTAGTGGTTAAGTGCGCGGATTCTAATCTGGGAGAACCAGGTTTGATTCCCCACTCCTCCACTTGCACCTGCTGGATGACCTTGGGCAAGCCGTAGTTCTGATAAGAGCTGTTCTTGAAAAAAGAGCCGTTTCTGTCAGAGCTCTCTCAGCCTCACCTACCTCACAGGGTGTCTGTTGTGGGGACAGGAAGGGAAAAGGAGTTTGTAAGATGCTCTGAGACTCCCTTGGGTAGTGAAGGGTGGGGTATACATCCAATATCTTCTTCTTCATGTTCAGTTCCAAATACCAGGGATCTGAGTTCCCTGTCCATCCAGCCCACCACTTGTAAGTGGGTTTCCGCATCTTGCTTGATAAAGCAGCCTCCTTCGCCTTGCGCCAGGGGGCGCATCCCTTCGGTCCAACCGCAGTAGTGGCACTGAGGCAAAGAGTGAGCCCTCTCAGGATCCCAGGCTGAGGGCAGAGGAGAGGATGGCAGGCCATCTAGTGAGAGAGTCGGGGCTGCTCCGCCACACTGGTCTTCGGCCAAGATGGCAGCCCCAGTCCTGGTTTTTATTTCTTTGCCTGCTTGTCTGCAGTCTGGCCTTTCCACTGTAACCCACCCTTCCCCTTTTTATGGGTTTAGAAAAGTCATCTCCTCCCGTTTAAAATTTGGGGCAGTTTTCCCCCCAAAAAATCAGAGTGTCACATGTGCATTATGTCACTACCTGTAGAAATTACTGCAGTTTTCCAGTTTTGGCTTGTTTAAAAACTCTTTAATTGCAAAAATATAATGCTCCCTCTAAGCTGCGGAGTCTTGTGAGCAAAAATTCTATTTTGTGAGCTACTGTCGTTAAAGGTGTGAGGGAGTGATTTGGCTACTGCATAAGTTAGTTTGCTCTGGAGCCCTCCTTTCTGAGTGAAGATAAAAATGTGTGAGCCGGAGGCTAAAAAACTGAGCTAGCTCACACTAACTCAGCTTAGAGGGAACACTGCTTAGGAGCAATGCTCCCTCTAAGCTGCAGAGTCTTGTGAGCAAAAATTCTACTTTGTGAGCTATTGGCGTTAAAGTTGTGAGGGAGCAATTTGGCTACTGCATAAATTAGTTTGCTCCAGAGCCATCTTCCCTGAGCTAAGACAAAAACGTGTGAGCCGGAAACTAAAAAACTGTGAGCTAGCCCACACTAACTCAGCTTAGAGGGAACACTGGTGACGACTGCGTCACATCAAGTCAGGGCAGTGCTCTGGTACCATGTGACTGTTTGGAAAAGATGTTGAATACATGGAGTCCCTTCCATTAGTACCAACAGCTAATATTTTGCCTCTCGTCTGCAGCGCTCCTACTTCCGAACGCTCCTCATGTACGGATTCCACTTCCTAGTGTGGTTCCTCTGCGTGAAGGAAATAAGGGACACCCAGTGTGGGTTTAAGCTGTTAACCCGGGAAGCTGCTTCCCGGACGTTTTCGACTCTTCATATAGAGCGCTGGTAGGTGTTCTGCGTTTGTTTGTGTAATGATTCCATGTTTTTTTGCGGGGGTGTCCCTTTAAATGTTTCATTTGTTTGCAGTGTAGGGAGAGTGACAGAGGGAGACAAGTGATTGGCTGATGACTAAGAGAATGGGAGGAGGGGTGTTTCTGAGTGGATTCTGTGTGTGTCTTGGGAGAGAGACAAACGTGGAGGAGGTTTGAAGGGAGTCTGTGTGAAGTTTAGTCTGTGTGACTATAAGAGTTTTGTGAGAGAGTGTATATGGCCAAAGAAACAAGTTGTGTCTATCCTGTGTGGTTATTCGGTGTACATAGCCTGTGTGGCTATGAGAGAGAAAGAGATTAGCCTGTCAGAGTGGAGTTTGATGTGTAAGAGACTGAGTGTGACACCGAGCTTTGCCAGTTATATTCACAAGTTCCTTTCTTCAGCAACTGTTCAAAATAACCAGAAACCTATTTTGTTCTTTATTAAATAAATCGATTTTTGTTTAAACGTATCCCAGACATCAGTACAGTCCTTCCTCAGGGCCACATAGTCCTCTGCAGTGCCCAGACCCTGGGTCATTCTACCAAAAGAGAGAGATTTGGAATTTTTAATTCCTGGTGGCAGCAGAAAACTACCAAGTTTAGGTACACAGAGAGTGTTTTAAAGGTAAAACCGTTTCCCCAAGTAGCAAGCACCTCACCGTTCGATCTGTCGGAAACGGCATCAGAGCTGCGTCTTCGGGGTGCCAAACATACTTGGGGGAAACCAACTGTTACCTGAGATGGAACATGGATTTAGCAGTCGTTAAGCTGTCTATATACAAAGTAAAACCGTCTAACATCATCAAAGCATATGAATTTAACCAAGTCCAAATGAAAAGCTCGAGGATTTGCTTCCTAATTTCAGCGTGAATTGGGGGGGGGGGATATCCATTATCTGACAAGTTGAATTTGTTTCAGCTTGTTTCGGCCCTTTCTTACAGCTGTATTATTACAAAAGAAAATATCGGTAGGCTGAGGAACAAAAGTAGTTTTGTATAGCATAACCTCTGAAGATTATACCCACTTCACCCATGTTGGCAAGTCTAAATTTAGGCTGCGCTTGAAGTAACCTCCTCTCTGGCTTACTGAAGGAGGAGCAGCCAGTCCTGAGTGATAGGTGAGAAATTCATAGAATCATAGAGTTGGAAGGGGCCATACAGACTCAAAGGGGCTCAAGTGGTTAAGATGCTGAACTGCAGACTAGGACAGTAGTTCAGCAGTTTGAGACCCAGGTGCCGCATGACGGAGTGAGCTCCCGTCTCTGCCCCCAGCTCCCGCCAACCTAGCAGTTCGAAAGCAAGAAATTGCAAGTAGATAAATAGGTACCACTTCGGTGGGAAGGTAACAGTGTTCGGTGCGCCTTGGCGTTTAGTCATGCCGGCCACATGACCACGGAGAAGTCTTTGGACAGCGCTGGCTCTTCGGCTTGGAAACAGAGATGAGGACCGCACCCTAGAGTCGGATTCGACTGGCTTTCGAGCAAGGGAACCTTTACCTTTACCTATACAGACCATCTAGTCCGGGGGTGTCAAACATGTGGCCCGGGGGCTGGATCAGGCCCCTGGAGGGCTTTTATCAGACCCACAGTGGAACCGGCTGTCTTCTGCTGCTTCTTCCAGTTCTGCTGCTGCGTTATCGTAGGTTTGCAGGTTTTATTTATTTTATTTTATTTATTTAATTTATACCCCGCCCTCCCCGCAAGCAGGCTTAGGGCAGTTTACATAATTGGTCTATAATGACCATTAATTCACATAAAAACAGTTTAAAATTTCAATTACAGCAAAACATAAACTCATAAAGTTTAGCTAGTGCTAATACATTGGGTACATAAGATACAGATACACAGCTGAACAGCATACCCAAGATTGCAACAGAACAGACATTTTGATGCAATAATTCAGAGCAAGGTGTCAGTTATCAGACACTGTTAAATAAACAACATATTGCAAGAGTGCTGATGTTTTAAGCCTGTTTTTATTTTAAGTAAAAAAAACACCTTTGTGTTTGTGTCCTTTATAAAGTTTGTATCTCTGCTACCTGGCATTACATTTCATGACACACGTGGCCCGGCCCGACAAGGTCTCATTTATGTCAGATACGGCCCTCATAACAAATGACTTCGACACCCCTGCTCTAGTCCAACCCCCCTGCCCAATGCAGGACTGGCCTAATTCTGCATGTCTGGGAAAAATAAGTTCCCAGTGACTTCAGAGTTAACTTCTACCTTTTCAAACCCCTTCTACTTGGGCAAATTTATCTCTATCATAGGTACAAATAGCTGGTTTTGAGAGAGGAGAAGAAAGACAGCCATGTCGAAGTTGTTTCCATTTCTCACTCTACCAGAGAGAAACTGGGCATTTGCCAGAGATCTTCCTTTGCTTGGTCCATGGCCACTAATTCTCTGTGCTGAAGGGAAGCTCAACAGATCACAGGCATTTGTGGTGCGTTTCACATCAGTTCTGCACAATCCTCATGCCTCTTTGTCCTGCTCTTCTCTTTCAGGGCGTTTGACGTGGAACTCCTTTATATAGCTCAACGTTGTAAAATACCGATCGCAGAGGTCGCTGTCAAGTGGACAGAAATTGAAGGTCAGTGGTTCTTCAGACGACTCTCTCTTCGGTAGGATTCATTCCAGAAACCAGATTTCCTCAGGTCCCTCTTGAGTAGGCGGAATGTTTCCTCCAAGCCTCAGACCATTTCAATATTGTCTCCAAAAGATTAGTCTAGGGCAGTTAGCAAAGGATGGAAGTTCTTCTCTCCTGCTGAGGTTTCTTTGCTTTCTCTCTTCTGCTTCTCCCTCATCACCAATGTCTCAGTACAATCTTCTTTTAAAACGCTGCTTCACTTGGTTTTCCTCATTCTTCTGACTTGGACCCCTTGTTTTATTAGGCGAGGCAGATTTTCTCAATTTCTTGTTTTTTTCCCTCAGCTGGAAAGTCATTCTTGCTCTTTTTCCCCCCCTGGAATGTTCTTTTCCCCAGCTCAGCAGAAGCTTTGCAGCTGCAGAGTGAATCATTCCAGAGTCGTCCCAACGATATTATTGAGTATTAGTCTTGCCAAATAGTTTTTATATCTGCACACACCCTAGTCTGGAGGTTGCAGGATGAATCTGTTCTAGATGTGCAGATGTACACTTTTTCCCTAATATAAAAACTATCATTTTGGTGTAGTGGTTAAGTGCACAGACTCTAATCTGGGAGAACCGGGTTTGATTCCCCACTCCTCCACTTGCACCTGGCTGGATGACCTTGGGCAAGCCATAGTTCTGTCAGAGCTGTCCTTGAAAGAGCAGTCCTCGAAAGAGCTCTCTCAGCCCCACCTACCTCACAGGCAGGGTTTCCTCTAAGCTGAGTTAGTGTGAGGGAGCTCACAGTTTTTAGCCTCCAGCTCACACACATTGTTGTCTTAGCTCAGGAAGGATGGTTCCAGAGCAAACTAATTTATGCAGTAGCCACGTCGCTTGCTCACAACTTTAATGCCAGTAGCTCACAAAGTAGAATTTTTGCTCACAAGACACCACAGCTTAGAAGGGAGCATTGCTCACATTGTTGTGGGGAGGGGAAAGGAAAGGAACCATAAGCCGCTCTTAGTGAAGGGTGGGGTATAAATCCAATCTCTTCTTCTTCTTCTGATGCAGCAAATACCCTTCTGGACCCCCCAGTGTAGGGGAGGGCTAGACAGCCCTTCCCACCCCAACCCGACATGCTAGCAATAAGTCCAACTTGCAGAGAGAGAGAAGACATTGGATTTATACCCCGCCCTTCACTTGGAGTCTCAGAGCGGCTTACAATCTCCTCTCCCTTCCCCTCCCCACAACAGACACCCTGTGTGAGGTAGGCGGGGCGGAGAGAGCTCTTTCCAGAACTGCCCTTTAGAGAACAGCTCTGACAGGAGTATGGCTTGCCCAAAGTCATCCAGCAACTGCAAGTGGAGGAGTGGGGAATCAAACCCGGTTCTTCCAGATTAGAGTCTGCGCACTTAACCACTACACCAAACCAGCTCTCAGCTGACTAGCTCTCAGATAAGTCCCCCGCGTGGCCAAGAGCAGAAATGCTTGTGAGTCTGTCCCAAGAAGCATAGCCAAGTGGTGGCATCCACGACAGTTCTGGCCAGAGAGGAAATCATGCAGGGAAGCATGCTGGGAGAGAGAACACACGGGAGAGGTGGCAACGACAGCACATCTGAGCCAGCTCTGTCAGGCCCGTGTCAGAGAGCAGCGTTCTCGATAGCCAGCTGCACACGTGACAGGAAACTCAGAGGAGAGGCCTTTCCCGAGGCCTCGCACCGTCTGAGGTAGGTGGTGGCAGCAAAGTGTTGCATAACCTCATCGAGTGACCGGCTGTTCCTTTCCTGTCTCTCACGATTCCAGGTTCCAAACTGGTCCCCTTTTGGAGCTGGCTGCAGATGGGCCGGGACCTCCTGTTCATTCGTTTGCGATACTTGACGGGCGCCTGGCAGCTCGGAATGAGGAAAACGGACTAGGTTTTACATGCACTTACCAAATAGATTTTTATATTTCCAAATACCTGGGATTACTACAGTGACGTGAAATAAGGGAAGAAGGCTGAGGTTACCCGTCTTTACCGCTACACATGAATCTTGTTCTTTTTAATTTGCCAAGAATGCCGATGTTCCGTAAGATGCCTTTTTTGTTTTTGTTTGTTGTTTCTTCTTAGTTTTGCAATTGGGGATCAGTCTCTTTTCTTTTGTAGAAGCGTTTGGACAATTTCCCCACACACACACACGCCAAGAAAGTGTGTGGCGGCAGTCATAAATGTTAATTAAAAAAAGACCCCACAAACTGTTACGGTCCACTAATTCTGTCATCACAGCGGTCCAAAACATGCTCACAGTTTGGTGTGCAAGAGATTGTATCGTTGGAATGCACAGGACCAGCTGAAGCCCACAGACAGTCCTTTGTGGGTGAGGGAGGAGCACCGAAAAGGAGAATTCTCTCGATTTCAGACTCTCACCCGTTGACTTGAACTGGCTGCAGACGTTTGAAAACTCCCGTGTCGTTGTGTAACTTCTTCCCTGATGCTATGAATGCCAACGTTTTGTATGTGAAGGTGACCCAGGCTGTTTTTGAGGGTCCATTGATGTAAGCAGGAACAGTGTTGGGTCGGTTGAGGTCAGGAAGGTGTTAAAGTGCTTAACTTTCACTGGGTTGTACGTGAGCTCTCTTTCATCTCTGCCAAGGTACATCTGTCAGACAGAAGGAGGTACGCTTGATAGTGGAAATAAGCCGGACGTCAGGAAATAATTGTGTAAGACTCTGCCAGCATCACTTTTTCTCTGTTCCCTGTCACAGTGTGTTTGGGCTCTGAGTGTATCCGACTTTTTAAACTGCTGCAACGGTAATTCCAGCAAACATTCAAAGTATTTTCACGTCTCGAAGTGGTGGAACATTAAATGGGAAAATGGTGCTGTCGATCTGAGTCGCCATTTTTTTTTTAAGCTGCTTTCATAAAATACTGCCCATGATTGTAGTCCAGGTGATTTTGGTGCTTACCAAAGCCAAAAAGAATCTCATACCGTCACACAGTTATATGTTCACACGGTGTCAGACTGGAATGTGTTTTTCCCACTCTTATCTCACGTTACTTCTGTAGTGTTTTTCCCATCTGCAGCTGTTCCCTGTGTGGGAAAAGAAAACTCTTGTTGTGTATGAACATTCATCTCTCTAAACTACCTGCCGCATAAGCCAGTAGTAAGAAGTAGCTTCTCTGTGTTGATACAGTTTTGTGTAGAGAGCCAGTTTGGTGTATTGGTTAGGAGCGTGGACTATAATCTGGGAGAACCAGGTTTGATTCCCCACTCCTCCACATGCAGCTGCTGGTGTGACCTTTGGTCAGTCACAAGTTCATTCAGGGCTGTTCTCAAAGAGTTCTGTCAGCCTCACCTACCTCACAGGGTGTCTGTTGAGGGGAGGGGAAGGGGGAGATTGCAAGCTGCTCTGAGATTCCTTCAGGTAGTGAAGGGCGGGGTATAAATCCAATTTCTTCTTCATCAATCAGTGGCTTTGTCAGATTGCATGGCAATAAGGTTAAAAATCCTATTCCTATTACATTGCTTATTGGATGTCTCATCCTGTTGATTGCATTGACCAACACTGTGTAATGCGCCTTGAGTCTCAGAAAGGAGGACTAGAAACAGGGGTAATTTCGTAGAAAAAGCGGTGCAAGAGCTCATTAGCATGACTCATTAGCATAACTTATTTGCATATGCCACACCCCCTGGCAACACCCACCGCTCAGGGTCCACTGGACTGTTTTGGATTGCTAGCTATTGGGGGGGGAAGCGTGTAGATCTGTCCTCGCAGAGGAGGGAGAGCTTGTACCTGAATAAAACTTGGTCTTAAAGGTGCCACTGGACTGTTTTGGACCGGGGGGGGCGAGGGGGGGGCTCTGCAACCTACCTGGCTGCTTCTTGCTCTGACTGAGGGCTGCTGGGAGCGGGGGGTGGGGCTTGTTGCATGTGCCCGCCCCTGGGCTCTTTACTGCCGGAGCGCCGCTCCTGTGCGCTCCTGCAGGAAATGACCTGACTAGAAATAACATTAATTTTTTTAAAAATTAAAAGGGGGACAATCAATTGGAACTGCCGGGCAAGTTCTTTTGGGGATGCAGGTGACCGAAATGGTCCTTAGCACTTGCTGCTTCTGGGCTGGGGAGCGTCTGTCTCTCTGCCCCGTTTCTCTGTCTGCCCACAGGAGTAAAAAGCGAACCGAGAAATGTGTGCTGGTTTATTCTGTTTGATTGCAGTAAGCCAACAGCAAAACATCCCTGCCCTCCTTTGCAGCCTGGCCAATAGGGACTGCGGAGGCTTCCTTAAGCATGCGTGTCGCACCCTGACACGTCCTTAGCAGCCACCCTGGACTCCCAACTCCTCCAGCAGCTGCACAGGAGATTGCAACAGCCGTAGTTCCTTCCTCAGACTCCGTGTGAAGGATCGCCTGCCCAGAAGTCAGTGGGACAGACCGTGGGCCAAACTGGTGCCGCCTCTAATATTCCAGTATTTCATATTACACTCAAGGTAAAAATTCCAGTTTCCCGACCTCAGAAAGTAGTCCAGTTTCTCTTTCATTACAGTGTTTACAAAAGAGATTCAGGTGGGCAGCCGTGTTGGCCTGAAGCAAAGGAATAAAGTTCAAGTCCAGTGGTACCTTTAAGACCCATGAGAGCCAGTCTGGTGTAGTGGTTAAGTGCGCGGACTCTATTCTGGGAGAACTGGGTCTGATTCCCCACTCCTCCACTGGCACCTGGCTGGATGACCTTGGGCAAGCTGTAATTCTTTCAGAGTTGTTCTCTCAGGGGCAGTCCTCAAAAGAGCTCTCTCAGCCCCACCTACCTCACAAGGGTGTCTGTTGTGGGGAGGGGAGGGGAAAGGAGTTTGTAAGCCGCTCAGAGACACCTTTCGGTAGTGAAGGGCGGGGCATAAATCCAATCTCCTCCTCCTCCTCTTCTTCTTCAAGGTATAAGCTTTCATGTGCATGCACACTTCTGAAGTGTGCATGCACATGAAAGCTTGTACCCTGAATAAAACAAGAAAGCTGAGATATCCCGAATAAAAGTATGTTGGTCTTAAAGGTGCCACTGCACTCAAACTTTGTTCTTGTGTTTACAATTGGAAGTGAAGTGCTGGGAATGCTTGAAATACTATGTTATTGATTGCTTGCTGATCATTTTCTGTGTGGGAACAGTGCAATGCTGAGGGGTTAAATGAGGCTTCATCCTATTGAGAGCCAGTTTGGTGTCAACGTTAGGAGCACAGACTGTAATCTGGGAAAACCAGGTTTGATTCCCCACTCCACGTGCAGCTGCTGGCGTGACCTTGGGTCAGTTACAAGTCCTTTCAGAGCTGTTCTCTCAAGAGCAGTCCTCGAAAGAGCTCTCTCAGTCCCACCCACCTCACAGGCAATGCTTCCTCTAAGCTGTGGAATCTTGCAAGCAAAAATTCTACTTGGTGACCTACTGGCATTAAAGTTGTGAGCAAGCGATTTGGCTACTGTATAAATTAGTTTGCTCTGAAGCCATCCTTCCTGAGTGAAGCCAAAAATGTGTGAGCCAGAGGCTAAAAAACTGTGAGCTAGCTCACACTAACTCAGCTTAAAGGGAACACTGCTCACAGGGTGTCTGTTGTGGGGAGGGGAAGGGGAAGGCGCTTGTAAGCCGCTCTGAGACCCCTTCGGGTAGTGAAAGGCGGGGTATAAATCCAATATCTTCTCTTCTCAACAGGACATTGTCACTGCTGGCCTGTCCAAATACCAGTTCTCCCAGTACTCGTGTTGGGCCAGCAGTTCCGCTATGGTCAAATCAGCTGAGGTCCCGAATCACCTTGTGTATATCTACAGGGTGGGAAAGGGAACGGAGTTATGTGTGAAACCTCATGTTCTCGTGCACTATCTTGTGTTAACCTGAAGATGCACACCTGAAACTGCCTTCTACTGAATCATACCATCGGGTCCATCAAGGTCAATATAGTCTCCTCAGACGGGCAGCAGCTCTTCAGAGTTTCCAGCAGAGGTTTTTCACATCACCTGCTCCCAGGTAGAGCAGTTCCTCAGTGGAACAGGCTTCCTCGGGAGGTGGTGGGCTCTCCTCCTTAGGAGGTTTCCAGACAGAGGCTAGATGGCCACCTGGCAGCAATGCGGATTGTGTGAACTTGGGCAGATCATGAGAGGGAGGGCAGGAAGGGTTGCCTCAGTGCTTAGTTCCTGTGGCCCTTTCTTACATGCCCAAGGAAGTGCTGATCTCCACTTTGGGGGGCAGGAAGCAATCCTAGAGGGGTTTTTTGTCACCTCCTGGGCTTGGAACAGGGGTCACTGGGTAGTTCCTGTGGCCCTTTCTTACATGCCCAAGGAAGTGCTGATCTCCACTTTGGGGGGCAGGAAGCAATCCTAGAGGGGTTTTTTGTCACCTCCTGGGCTTGGAACAGGGGTCACTGGGGGTGTGGAGGGGGAGGTATTTGTGAATGTCCTGCATTGAGCAGGGGGTTGGACTAGATGGCCCTGGCGGGGGGGTCTCTTCCAACTCCATGATTCTATGATCCTTTTAACTTAGGGACGCCGGCTCCAGGTTGGGAAATACCTGGAGATTTGGGAGGTGGAACTTGAGGCAGGTGGGGTTTGGAGCTGGGAGGGACTTCAATGGGGTAGAACGCCATAGCGCCCACCTTCCAAAGCGGCTGTTTTCTCCGGGTGAACTGAACTCTGTTGGCTGGAGGTCCAGTTGTAACCCTAGGAAATCTCCAGCCACCACCTGGAGGCTGGCAACCCTGTTTTAACTGGCGGTGCCGGGGTTTGAACTTGGCACTTTCTGCACGCCAGATGCTCTGCCCTTGAGCCATGGGCCCCGTCCCCCTCCTGTTTCCTCGTGCTTCTCACCGTAAGCCTCGGTCCATGATGGTGTGCCTCCCTCTCTACTTATATAAGGCATTATCACGGGACCGTGATCCCTCGCCTTTTCCTTCCGGTGTCGTCCTAGAAGCTGTGTGCCGCTCGGCAGCCTTCCGTCATGGTGGGGTTTGTTCGTGCTGTCGATATTAACCACATCATTTGCGTTCAGTCCTGCCAAAGACCATCGCAGAGGGTTCCAGGGGTAGGAGACGGCCATTCTTTATCCTGGTATAAAACGGGGGTTATACCCAGTGTTCCCTCTAAGCTGAATTAGTGTGAGCTAGGTCACAGTTTCTTAGCCTCCGGCTCACAGATTTTTGTCTTTAGCTCAGGAAGGAGGGCTCCAGAGCAAACTAGTTTATGCAGTAGCCAAATCATTCGCCCACAGCTTTAATGCCAGTGGCTCACAGACTAGCATTTTTGCTCACAAGACTCCGCAGCTTAGAGGTAGCATTGGCTGTACCCTGCGTTCCGTCTCTTCCAAGTTGTCCCTTATTAGCTCTCCCATCGTTTGAACCCATTTTACCCGCAGAGGTCTTGTTTTCTACCCACTCATCTTCGTACTTAAGTCCAGTGGCGCCTGAAAGACCAAATTGATTCCAGCCTAGGTTTTTGAGCGTCGGGAGCACACTTCAGCAGATACATCGTGTGTTATGTCCACAGCAGACATGTTTGTATTTAAGATTGCAAGCGACAGAAAGGTCAGAACGAGAAAACATTACAGAGAGGCACCAGTTCGAAACGGCCAACTGGAGAATTCAGTGCATTCAGAGCAGGTGAACCGGCGTGCATGTGTGTGGAGGTCTTTTTATTCCCCCCACCAGTAAGCAGCAATTACTTATTTTAGCTGCTGTTAAGGGATTTATCACCAGCTCCAGCCTTATCTGCCAGCAATCTGTTTTAAATACCACTAAAAAAATATTTAAGGCTCAAGACGGAAACTTCAACCATCACCTTCAATATAATCAGTTATCTGATGCACAAGTCCAAAATATGTGAAATAGGTGTGACAACTCCAAAACAATCTGA